GTTGTTTTATGGTTGAGTTAGTGGCGCAGATTAATTGATTAGGAAAATCGGCTTACATTGGTTATATCATCTTACATGAATTCTACGCAAACAGATGATTGATTGTATTGTGCTGGAATTGGAATTGGTCGGGAATGAAGCAGCAATTTGTGCTTTTCATGTTTAGATAGTAAAATGTGATATATTTAACACAAAGTGATAAATTTAGATAGGATACATGTTCAGATAGAATACACAAAAGTGATCTATTTTAGATTCAATTTTCGGAAATACATGTGTCGTGCTTGAGAATATATCATTTATATATTGGCGATGAGATTATTCTCGCGGGATAGGTTCAGTAGAGCTTTATCGTTTTTGACTTCTCGAACTATAGTTCAATTAGGCTTCGTTTCGGGATGCACGAAGTGTATTCTTTGTAAGGCTCTTTAGCGTATTTCTTGGCATTTCATTTTGAACCCGCCCGTATTTTAATGCATAATTTTCTCGAATATCCGCCTTGGTTATGCAGCAGCAAATTCCGTGAGGGATGATGATGATAATGATGATGATGATGACCACAGCTGAATACAAGAGACGAACTCGAATCTTCTGTAATACGCCATTTTCTCCACACTTTCGGATCGTTGCCGAGTTTTGCTTTCGATCGCTGTTCACTTGTAGATGAAGTGGATTAACAAGCAACTTAGTAGAATTATGCGATTCATGCAAATGCAAAAAATAATTTGGTCTATGAAGTGATTCGTTAAATGATTCAACTGCACATCAGCGAGATGAAAGTATTGAATTTGAGCTAATAAGCGCACCACAAATGAAGAATAAAATGATACGAACGAACGAACAACTATGAATATGCGTCCTTCTGACGAACAATTCAAATTCAGAAAGTAACCTTTTTCTTCACTCATCCGTCATAAACACAAACTATTGCATATTCAGACGACTAAACGCAAATGAATTCTGATTTAATTCTGCATTTTGCGCATACGATCAGTGAAAGGCTTCTGTACTAGAGGTGAAGCTGACGTGTGTAGTCGTATGGAATAATCTTTTTCTTTGATTAATCCACATTTCGAATCATATCAGTTTGATTAGAATTGCTTGCAGAGGCGCATAAATGAT